CAATACAACGGAAATTAAAGTAAAAAAAACTTCATACTCTTCTGAATTTGAAATAAGACGCATAATTTAAAGGGTTTTTTTTTTTGTAAAATTACTTGTAAACAACTTATTAAGAATATTATGGTGTAGGTCTGATAAAAAAACATTTTTAATGCGGCCGCATCCTAAATATGCGTCGGTCTCAAGCCCGCTCAAACGCAGAGAGCGAATGTTTAATTTCAATATTATATCAGATTGTATAAAAAAATTGTTCATTTACATTACTTACTTAATTAATACATCTATATATTATTTAAATAAATACATATAGACTGTTAGAATATGAAATTATTTATTCTTTAAAGGAGGCAATTGCAGCAAGCAACGTTGGAACCGCATAAGTAGCAAACGGCCGAGCGGCCGAGCGGCCGAGCGACTAGCGCGTGGTTCGTTTCATTCTAGTCCTATCTTAATCCTAATAGCGGGCACTCGATTTCCTCAACGGTTTCTTGTGTAAAAAATGACAAGGAACACGATGGTACAAAAATTAAAAAAAAAAAATATCGTTTTTTGAGATATCGTCGATTTTTTGAAAAAATTGTTTATAACAATGGCATAAATAAATGATTTGGTATTTTATTATTTACATTTTAAAAGTTAAACTCTTTCCGCGTCTTTTAAAAAAAGAATCATGTCCATATCTTTATTAGTCTCCGAGAAATCGAATTAATAAAAAAAAGTCCAATATTTTTTCAACAGTTGATAAGTCGGCCCCTTATCAATATTTTGATCTAAAACTCTGCACAGATGTTGACCTTTGTATAGGTAACAAGTCTCCCAACTTTGAACAAAATTGGTGATTTGAAGTTTTAAACTGTTTGAAATAGCCAAGAATTGCCCTGCATATAACAAGATGACACATTGAAAATGAAAGCAACATTAATTTGGTTTTTTAAATTAAAGATTGTCAATTGAATCGCTATCGTGTGATTACGATATCTTGATTATCGTGTGGTTTCATTCTATTTTGTAAGTGAACAATTTTGCAGTTTTTGATTTTTCTTACACAATTATAGAAAAATTCTGAACAAATTTCTATTGATAGTTATAATAATTTTACAAGTATTGCCATGATTATTTTTTCCAAAGTATAATTAGGATGAGAGTGATAAGCCAATTTTGAAACTTTGCTGTTTTCTATAGAATAAATTGCACCAGAATGATTGGACTACAACAAAACAAGGTACCTAAGAAAAATCTATATATGTTTTGTTCAACATTTTATAATGTCAAAAACTCATTCTTACGAGATCGGCACTAATTTCCTTTAGACGCATGCGAACCAAATTCTGACGACAGGTTTTTGTTCCTCTTAAAAAATATATCGATTTAAAAAGATTTGAAACCACTCTGGAGCTACGACTTTTTCTGTTTGCCTACACGGACGCCAACTTGCAGATCTTTCCCGTAGCTTAGTATCGTGATTATTATCCACTAATTATTTATGTATTTAGTTTATTTACAATGAAATTGAAAAATTATCATGTTAAAAGGGTATCCCGCTTTGCTCAAAAGTGATATTAACGTACTTTTAACATAATAAAAAGTATATAGTTGACAAATATGAAAATCTGATACGTGTTTGGCATGCTTAAAGAAGTACTAAAGATAGTATGATTAGATTTTGTCGACACTATTCAAACTGCCAGAAAAAACGATAATATTGCAATTTTGATAATTAAAATAACGACGGTTTTCATTTAACTTGTAATACCGACTGAGCTTTTGTGCAAAGAGCCGAAATTGAATTTTTGAAGGGTACTCATATAAGAGGGCTGTTGGTCAAGTGATGCGAAAGTATTTCAAAAAAGAATATCATGGGAGTACCTCGCTTTGCCTAGAACTCCGTTTTACTCGGATAATCTCATTAATTCATTGAATTTGTAAGTTTTCATAGAGTCAATTATAACAATAACACGTGGAAACATATTATAAATACTCTTAAATCTTACATATATGATGCGATATATGAAATTACTAAAGCAGCTTTGATAGACGAATTATTTAATTTGGGAAAAATTGCTTTAGTTGACTATACCAGGTAGTTTTCGATGCTGAACAATATCTTGGTAAAGAAATTTTTTATATTGTATGGAAAACTACGTTCAGTAGGTTTACTGATTTGAAAACGCGATTTAGAAGTCATCATGCTTTTTATAACCAGTTGAATTTAATCAGAGCATTGTTAGATAGTAAATGAGTTTGACATATTATTATTTATTATTTCTTTAAAAGGTGTTATCGATATATCGAAACTAATAGTTCTGATGATATTAAGAACAACTTTTTAGATTTATTTGATCTCTTGCTTAGACCCGCTGTACCAATGAATGAGAATTCATGAGAAATGGAGGTACAATTATTTCAACATGATACTTAGAAAATTTATTCTAACTTGGCTTTATACTTTTGAGTACAACCTAAGATTACCTTTGACAGTCAACGAAAAAATAAAACGTAAGCACTATTTCGAATTTAACTTTTTCAAAATTAATAAAACAGTACATTTTTATTTTAATTCTGCTGCATTAGCAAATCAACAAAGTATTATTTACTGTACTATTATAAAACATGGTTCTGCGAAAGAGTGAAAGTTTTTACGGAAAAAATATAAAGGATGAAAAAAAATAAAGGATCGCTTGAAAAATTCGCGATTCTATTAGCCTTGGTTTGTTCCTGAAATGTTACTTATTTAAGAAGACGAGTTTATTTTCTGAACAAAAGAGCTATGGCATGAAAAACTTTGAGCTACGAAAAATTATGGGATTCCTAAAGTGAAGTCACGTGCTTAAACTTTCTCAACCGTTTTGAAGTGAGTAAACTCCAAGACGCAGATTTCAGAGACATTCGGCGCCTCGAAACGTGCGCCCCAAGTCATAAATCACGGCTGAGCCTTGCGGAAGCCTTGCGGAAGCCTCGCGAACAGGCCCGCGCCACTGTTTGTTCTTCGTCCCATTCGCCACGCGCCCGCGGACGTATAAACAGAGATTCGTCTCTCCAGCAGTGAAAATTGACAGGTCGGCCCGATTGTTCGCGAGCGAGCGGCATCTCAGCACCTTACCTCTCGACCTTGAACGTTACACTCGCACGTTCATCCCCGAGCGCACGTCAAGCTTATTTTTTTAATTAAATTACTTCTTATTTTTCAATTTTTGTAATGAATCAATAAACATGGTAATTTACGTCACTCAATTTCTTATGACGAAAAGAAATCCAAAAGAAGTATCCAAACTTCGCTCAGACTCTATAGCATTTATGCAATAATATAGTCTATAAAGGCAATTGATTTGAAATATATTCTCCGTGAATTTTGAATTGTTTGAAAAATCACATTTCTATTACAAGTGGTTCAAATTATTTACTATTAAAAATATATCATATCAGTTAAACAAAAGCGAGTGATCGCACTGTAATATCGATATGCTATATGTAAAAAAATGATTAATCTAGTACATACATAAAAAAATGTATGTAATTATAACAACTTAAAATAAGAAGGCATAGTCGACGTCAACAAATATGAAAGTGATATCAGTTTATATTTGAATACCGGATGATAAATCAAACAATGTTTACTACAGTTTTACTTTGAAAAAATCATCTTATCTTTCATTTTATATACATAAAAGTTTAAATATTACAAAGTAAGAGCAATGGCCTTATGTATAAATTTATATACATATTTGAATATCTAGCATGTTTTTTTTAATTGAATGTATATTTTTTGTTCATCACAGATAGTTTAATGAAATCAAGTTTCATTATTTTCGATTATTAGATCTAACTAAAAATATTTAGTTATGCTGTATATTTTATGTACAAACTCATGCTTAGTAAATTATCTACTAATATACTGATAATTACGCGTACCGATAAAAAAACATTGAATAAACTTGGAAAACTAATAATTTGAACTTTTTGATATTTCTGTAGGCTCAAATTTCGTGTTAAAATAATTTAAAAGCATAATGTTAAAAACACAATGTTAAAATATACATACAATTCATTCTGTCTATAAAAATTTGAAGTGTCGACTGCAGACGCGTATATGCGTCGACACTTACGCCGACAAGATTACGCAACGAACTATGTGAAAATTCACCCATAGTCAGATACTTGACTGCACTTTAAGAATTAAAATTATCTCCAACTGTCTGATGAACGTCACATCACTGCTTTTAATAACTTCGAGCCACATACACTTGCAACAGAGGTTCTTATAGTATCTTACTTTTAAACCTTTCGAGACGAACAAAGTATACGTAAGTTGTTTATTTAAGGGAAATCTTGAAATTTATATATTAGACTATAATTATTTTTAAAGCGATTGAACGTAAAATTTATAGAGTAGTTTATGTAAAATAATGTGATACACTCATATTATGAATGACGAATATTCTCTTTGTGAACGTTTGTTTGAATTTTCAATAGTAATATTTCGTGTGAAATTTGAATGATATTGCAGAACTATCTAACACCATATTTACTTTATTTGTTATTGTTGTAAATGAATGATTCTAAACAAAATTACTTTTTCAATTTTTTGTTATTTGTTACGATCTTTGTTTTTTGTGAAATTATTGTACTTCATTTAGCGAATTGTAATGTATAAATAAATACGGGGCTTATTTTCAAAAGTAAGTGCATTTGCAATGAAGGAAAATCGCTTCTCTATTCAAAATTATCAAAATACATGATTATAACAGAAAAAAGTCAAACAACAAACAAGTTAATTTATCTTTCATACTGCCTTAATCTGGCACGAGACATTACTCGAGATTTTAAACATTAAAAGTAAAACCTGATGAGTTTCGTTTTGAATTTCGCAAAATAAAAAGGTGACAATGAACATTGCATGAGAAAATGTTGCTTTCAAAACATTTTGTACTTTTTTAGTAAACGGATTCATACTATTTAATATACGTAAATAATACATAATTTAATCTAACTGAAATTGCAGAATGATATGGATTTGGAAACGGCTAGAACATGTTGTTATTTTAACAACAATAGTGTTAAGTACAGCCCGTTCATTGAAAAATGGAGATGTCGTGATTCATACAGAAAAACAACTATTAGCAGCAGAAAATACCACAGCTTATCGATTACCAGAGATCGTGGTGCCTGAAACATATTATATTCGACTTACGCCATTTATCACAACCGATAATTTTACATTTGATGGTGTAATACGTATAATTGCCAACGTAACAAAAAAAACTTCAAATATTGTTCTTCATACAGAAAAACTCAAAATTCATAAAGTGACTATCGTGAGTGTCAACAAAAAAACTGGTTTATCGAAGCTTCCAATAAAAAATGTCACTGAGCAAATGAGGTATCAATTTTTAAATATAGAAATGGATCAACCGATTGATGCTAACACGAACATTACCATTGCAATATCTTACACCGGTACTATTAACAAGGAAATGAAAGGACTATTTAAAAATTCATATACTACAATTAATAACAAAACTAGGTCATTATCGATTTTCGCCTAAATTACATTCCTTTTTTACAAAGAATAATTCATAATATGTCTTTATAATCTACAGATGGATACTTAGCACTCAAATGGAAGCAACAGGAGCAAGAAATGTTTTCCCGTGCTTCGATGAACCTGCGCTAAGAGCAGTTTTTCAAATAAGTGTGGTTGTTCCACAAAATTACACAGCAATTAGTAACATGCCAGTCAGATCGATCACTAAGGGGTAAAAGCTTTTGAAATTTAATAAAGTAAAAATTACGATAATTACTTTGTCATAAATATTAATTAATCATCTTTCAGACATATTTATGAGTTTGAAATGTCGCCGTCGATGCCAACTTATTTGGTAGCCCTTGTAGTGACAGACTTCAAGAATTTGACAATAAATGACGTAAATCGTACTTACAGAGTTTGGGCACAATCTGAGCTTGTTCATCAGTTACCTTATTCTCTGGCGGTAATACCTAAAGCTTTGAGTTTCTTTGAAAAACGGCTGGGTGAACCGTATCCTCTACCTAAAGTTGACATGGTCGCTTTGCCCGACTTTACTGCAGAAGCTATGGAAAATTGGGGACTGCAGATTTATTCCGAAATGCTGATGCTTAATGAACCCACCACTACTCCATTACTTTTAAAAAGATATGTCAGAAATCTTGTGACACATGAAAATGCCCATCAATGGTTCGGCAATTTGGTCACACCAAAATGGTGGGATTATTTGTGGTTGAAAGAAGGATTCGCACAATATTTTGAGTATCACGCTCATGGAGATGTAAGTGTGTTTTTTTATCTTATTCATCTTAAACTGTAGATACAGTTATGATGCATGTAAAAATTTCCTTCTGCATCATTCCAAAAGTGATGGGGGAATCTAATCGCATACATCACTAATGCGAACATATACGCAGTGTACTTCTGGAGTGTTAAAAAGCCAACGTAGTTCTTGAAATTACAATAATAATCACAATATATTTTTAATAAATAGTATACTTTTATATATATAGATTCGAATTCTGTTGTTTTGTTTTAGGAAATTTCGTCTTGGAACTTGGAATCAGAATTTGTTGTGGATATAATGCACCAGGCGTTTACCGTTGACGCAGAAGAAGATATCCATCCTATTACCAATAGAGTTTACAGTCCTTCAGAAATTGCAGCCATGTTTGATTTGATTTCCTACAATAAAGCTGGTTGCATTATAAGAATGCTTGAAAAAGTTTTAGGACCGAAAATATTTTACGGAGCTCTGGCAAGATACATCAAGAAGAAGTTTGTACAACTTTAAGAAATATTGCAATTAGTCAGTATGCACTTACATCTAATTATTTCACAGCAAATACTCTACTGGAACTCCGGAATTACTAATTGAGGCATTTGAAGACGAAATCAAAGCAAATGACTACATACTCCATGCTAGTATGGCTGAAGTTATAAATACCTGGACTATCCAACCCGGATTTCCAGTGGTCAACGTCCAAACCAGTGGAGATACCGTTGCAATAAGGCAAAAAAGATTTTTCTTACATCCACCGAGGAATCACACTTTCAATACAGCTTGGTGTGTGCCTATCAATTGGGTTACACAAAGCAAACCAGATTTTAGTAATAACAAAACATTGATTTGGATCAGAGATAACTTTACATCGATATCAATTGAAAACGCTTCCAAAGAGTGGGTCATATTCAATATCCAGCAAACTGGTGAGGCTTTTGTTTTCAAATAAGTCATCCACCTTTCCTAAATTTTCTATTATAATAAATATTTATAATAGTGCTAAATCTATCAATTGTCAAAATATTTAGGTTTTTACAGAGTCAACTACGATAGTCAAATGTGGCAGCGTATAATTAATGCGCTGAAATCCAATGACTATAAGCTAATTCACGAAATCAATAGAGCATCTTTGATCGATGACTTATTCAATTTAGGAAGAATAGGCGAAGTCGATTATGAGATTGTTTTTAACGCCACCCAGTATCTTAAAAAAGAAACCAATTACATACCGTGGAGAGCTGCATTTTCTGGTTTATCTTACTTGAAAACTCGATTGGTTGGACATGCCGAAATTTATAATCGTTTAAAGGTACAGTTCTTTATTAGTAAATGAATTTAAAATTATTATATAGTGCGATTTTGATGCTATTGCGCTCTCCACAACCAACGCAAGAGATTCGGATCCGAAAATTAATCAATTGCAGCGCTAAAATTATAGGCTATAGAGGGCTGAAAATTTGAAATCTGTTAGCAGAAAACAGTATCAAAAGCTTTCAATTTTATCCTAAACTTAGCTTGACTTATAAATGACATATTTATAGGTTTATGTAATATCATTATTAGAGCCAATATATCGAAGATTAGGATTCGATGAAAAGAACGATGAAAGTAATTTTGATACATTACTAAGGAAAAACATGTTAGAATGGCTTTGTAGTTTAGACTATCAAGAATGTATCAGCAGAGCTTGGAATACTTTTAATAATTTACAGCAGAAAAAAATGTATGTTCAACTATGTATCATGCTTATTTATTACTTAAAAAAATATTATTATGAAATAATTCATTAGAAAAGTATTAAATTTATATACAAATTAGGAAATCTCATGTTGAAAAAAGGTTATTTTTGTAGTTCTGTGATATCACCAAATCAACAAGGGTTCATATATTGCACCGTGATAAAACATGGCTCAATGAAAGAAATCACTTATTTGTGGCAGAAATTCAAAAAATCAATTTACTCTAGTGAAAGGCACACTATTTTGACTGCTCTGACTTGTTCACGCAATTCATCTCAAATAGAAAAGTAAACTGCGATGACGTTATTCATGTTGACATTTTTCATTTCGTTCTTCTTTTTTAATTGGTACCGTTATTTGTTGAAATGTTTTTTTTTCTAGAATTTTAATTGATGTACTTACGCTTAAACATAAAATTAAGCAAGAACAAGTGTCGGAGATGATTAAATCAATAGCGAAAAACTATGAAATTGGGCTTCCAACAATTTTGAGTTACATAAAACATTATTTTGACGACTTTATTGAAAAGTAAGCTACTAAATCATATGGAATTTTTTTGTATATACTGGAAATGGATTTTTTCTAAATATTATTTTATATTTCTAGCATTGATGATGAAAATGACGTAAAGAATTATATAAAATTTATTTCTACACAACTCTCAACGAAAGATCAAGTAAATCAGGTAATTTTAGTATTTAGAAAATAATATTTCTTTGAGATGATTTTCTTCAAAATACATGTACTCGGATATTTTCAGTTGGATGCTATTCTGAAAAATAATCAGGAAAAATTATCAAATATTTCAAAGTCTTTACAATTTTTATTAGAGAATACGATTTATGAACTGAACCGACTCCGAAATTACTCTCCTAAGATTTTAAACTGGCTGACAAATAATATTGAGATGCATATATAGAGAAATGTCTATAGTTGTGGTTAGGTTATTATACTCCAAAGATATTATGAAATCAATTCTCATTTTATTGTCTATTTCAGATAATGATCGAATCTGTTTGTTTACTACTCTGTTTATATACATGATTGATTTATGTTAATATAAAAAAGTAAGGTTGGATGACTAGTTCACGTAAAATATTAAATATAAATAAATATATAAATAAGTACAGTTTTTTCATTACATTTTTAATGTTTAACTACTTTCACTTTCATTTGTCCTTTTACATATTGTAGAAATTTAAAGTACGATTTTTGGCTACACTATATTATATACTGGTATATCTATAATTGGAAAAAAGTATTTTTGTAAAACTTTTTAAGTAAAATTGAAAATTTTTCCGAAAATATAATAAAACAGCTGTTCATCTTTGAATTTGTTTATTTATTTTTATTTTAGCACATTAATTGAATTTATTGACTGTGTAATTACAGAACTCCAAATCGTTTTTCGATGCTATAACTATATTTAATACATACACAATTCCAATCATTGTTGGAATATTCTTTTCTTTACATAATTACTTAAAATTAAAACACGTAAACTCTTTATTATTATAAGGCTAAAGTATAAAACATAACGTCTCTTTGCTATTACTCTAGACTCTTGTTTAAACGTCAGTATAAATTATATTACCAAGAATAAATAATATTAAATACTGATGTACATACAAAAATCTGCCTTTTGTTTAATTGTCATAATTTAATATGGCAGTGTAGCTTAAACTACTTACACAAAAAGTATATATAGCTATAAACATTAAAATCTACGCGATTCTACTGACATAAGAAAAATGTCTTTGCTTGACTTGCATTTCCGTTGCCGCGGTTGAATTAAGTATCAAGTGTTTTAAGCTCGACTAATAAACATTATCAATTAGCATCTTTTGGCTTCGATAAGTCTTTAAAAAATCGTATAAAACATATTTTATACAACGCATCAAAATTAAAGTAACAGTAACTGTTTACTAAGAAGCATATAGCTCTTCCGTTTTGACACATTTTCAATGCAGATAACAGAAATCGACAAAAGCATTTTTCGAGCGCAACCTTAATTCGCCGTCTTTGGATTTGCTCGATGAAGTAATAAATTATACATCGCTTAGAGCTATATCATTTTTTCATTGTAAAGGACAAGAGTTTAGATGAATATTGTATAGCTCTGCCATGTCCGTCCAATCTCGCCTTTCACCGCCAATCATGACGTTTCGAATACATCCATTGAAATGATCTCTAGTCATGAGTGTGCCTTTGAGAGCTGAAGCTGCATAAGAATATTTTATTAGTATATTGGAAATTTTTAAAGAATTCAATGATCGTGTGTTAGTTACCGGGTATTCCTCCGATGTAAATAGTATTAGTAATGGACGATCCCATGAAATGTCCATTAACATTATCCGGTAAACCGTACTTTTGATCTAAATCGTCAACTTTGAGGAACAACTCGTCATCTTTGTAAATCGCTTGAATCTTATGCCACCTGTTGTCGCACACTGTGTAAGGATTATTGAACTCTTGTTCAACACGAAGCACTTGATTAAATCCGAAGTTACTAGACATAACCACTTTGCCATTGTGTAATTCTAACGATAAAGAAGGCGAGCCTTCTGGGCCAGTTATTGAAAGAAGTACACCGGTTATTTCCGATGTCCGGAATTCCAGTTGTAACTCCAGGAAAGCGCCTAATTCAAAATCTTTTTCTGCAATATACATATAAGTTTTATTATTTACGAATGGAGAGAAAATAAATGTTTGAAAAATAAGTATCTGTAAATTCTTAGGATACGGAATTCTGTAACTTACTATATACGGCGTAAGCTTCATCTTGGAAGTAAGCACCACTCTCGACATTTGGGAAACATTGGCCAACGTTGTAAGGGCGGCTAGTCGATCCGACCATATCGTAGACATTGCCGTTGACCTTCAAGCCTCTGATGCAGCCCTTGAGTATTTGAAGCTTGACAACTACTTGTTCGGGTAGTGGTGTTCCGCTCTCAGGTGTTCCTCCTATGTACATAACATTCGTTAATCCAATCTTTTTCGGCACTTTGATGAACATTGGAGCTTGCGTGTCGACGATCATTGTTAATTTTCTGCCGCTGTGGCCTATAGTAACGTGATGCCAATTTCCGTCGTTGAATGGTGTTTTGAAAAGAATTTCTTTCTTCTGCTTGCTCTTGATCGTGAGTAATAGTTGACCGTCCTTGATTGTTACTGATAAATAGTTCTTTAATCTGATACCCTGTGAAATTACATTTGTAGGGTTATAAAATGAAAAAGTTAAATATTCCGGTAGAAGATTAAGCTTACGGGAGTAATGAAAAGTAAGCCATTAGGATAATAAGTTCGAAAATCGAACTCAATAGTTTTCTTTTGAAGCCAGAAGTTCTCGAAGTTGAGATAGAGCTGAGTGTGACTTTGAGGTTTGTCGCCAAATTTCAACGCGCCCGGTTCCAACGAGTAGTACGGAATCTTTTGGCAACCCTCGGGTTGAGTTGATAGGCCTCTAGACAATGAAGCGGACAGTGAAGATGCCGGTGGATCTTTACCCATATTCGGACCCGGTCGTCCAATGTAAGCGTGTTCAAATATTACAGCATCTTCAAATTTCACTATTTTCCTGTGAAGTAAAAATTTGATAATTATAATGATTTATTCGGACCATCGCTGTCGCAAATTATTTATTGAAATTATAGAACGCACTGGTCATTGTAAATAACGTCTTTAATAGCGCCTTTTAAAGGAACGTTGGTTGCAATTAGTTTGGTTTTGTTGATCAAACTAGGCAGACCGCCAAAGTACAGGCCACCTGATTTAGGAGATCTGATTGCTGCACCGGTCGTCATTTTATCACTAGCTTGATAAACGTCATCTATCCACAACTCAACGTCTTTCCGCTTCTTCGTTAGCATAATTGTATGATACTTTCCGTCGTTAAACGTGCCGTTCGATTGAAGTACAGTTTCGCCTTTGCCAGCATTCAGATAAACTACTACGCGGCCTTCGATCACAGCTACAGAATAATAATTATCCTTCTGTAAAAGTACAGATCGAGTAATTATATTATTTCTGTCGTTCACAGTATTAATATTTAAAGAATACATACAATTAGTTCAGACTCTTGATCAGGAATGCCAAAAAGTCTCTCTTCAGGTCCCTGGAAGGTTGAAAGCAATAGCATGGCATTGCTTTGTAACGTTCTAAATGAAAATCCAATAGATGACGATATTTTACGAAGCTCGAGGCCTGGCATCTCTAAGTATCCGTCCCCGTATAGACCTACGATCGACAATGGCTAAAAAGAAAATTATTCAGTTAATTTTAGTTAAATTTGTAATCGATATTGATGACGGATAGTGGAAACCTCTTAATCAAAAAATTCGGATGACTTTTCATCATTTCAATTTATTGACTATAAAATAGCAATAGCAATTTTGGCGACCATTCTGAGATACATATTTCGAGCTCCTTCAAGCTTATCGAGGATTTGGCAACGTAATCAGAGTTTAATGTCTGCAGAGAAAAAGACCGCCAAAGACGTGTATCTCAGAATATAGTCAATAAAGTAATTTGATGAAAAGTCATCTGAGTATTTTTATTTATTTAAAAATTGTCATTAGTGAACACAAATTGTACCTTATTTCGACAACCATTATCAACTCCGTAGTAGTGTTCAGCCATAGGATCGTAACCCTCCTGCACGAAAATATTGGACATACATCCAAGGAACGATACACGAGTTGGTAAATCAAGTCCTTCCACTTGGAAACTAGGTGGTACACCACCAATGAAGTACTTGGCATTTGATAAGTCGGGTATATCCTCCTTTCGAGGCTGTGGCGTGGGTGCACCGATCTTCTTGTCGTTCTCGCCGTCGACACTGAAACTGCACTTTTCGATATTTTTCCGTTGTTGGTATTGTCGGAAAGCATCCACTTTCGTCCAATTGCCGTTGTTATAACGGAACGTAGAGGACATTTCCAAGCTCACGTTACCGCCGTATATTATTTGCATTACAACATGTCCATCTCGTAAGAATATTATTATATGCCCATTTGGCTGTAAAAAATATCAATTAGCTTTTTAAGATTCATGAATTTTTATTATTACCACAGATTGATATGCAACGTACACGGATCGGATCGATTGCTAAGAAAAGTAAGGCATTTTCATCGAATGTCCTAAAGTTTATAGAAACGCCGAAAATGTATCTATTGTAGGGACCAGACATCACACGACTCCTCACCGCGTAACCTTCACCATTGAAACTGTAGGTCACGTCGCTTGATAACTTTTCAAATCTGTATATAAAAGATGTAGATTGTCGATTGAATGCCATGTATTATTAATCTAAATATAAATTAAGCTAACTTACCCTTCGACACATGGTTGACATGAATCGTCAGGTGAATTGGTAATAAAGTTCCACAGGCCGATGGGTTGATTATCCAATATGACCTGGTGCACACAACCTGGTAAACCGCTCGACGACAAAAGTTCTGGTGGCTTCAATTGTAGTTCGGGTAGTCCACCTAACCATACTCGATCCACCATCGTAACGTCAAATCGTCCAAACTCGGGACTCGTTGCATTGATTACAGATTGGACCTTGCTAAACCTTGCAACCTGCTTGCTCACTGTTAGTTTTCCTAAGTTTCTTATCCTGCCATTAATCATTTCACGATTAGTCGATATTCTTAGACGATTACAAAGGATAAAAGTATAATTTTACCTTTCGGCTTCGATGCGATACCACAATGTCTCGTTATTAGGATTTCCTGCATCCAGGATTTCAGGATGGGTGACTACGCCAGTACCACCCCCGACGTTCCATACGAACCTTATCTTACGATTATACATTTCGAGAGCTACGAAATCATCCTGTGGATTCATGAAATTGAACAAAGTGTTATTTATTAAAACTTTTGAAACATGCTTCATAAGAAGTTATAAGCAATACTTACGTTTGTACTACTTGGAAGGTAAAATAATAAACCTTCTCTTTGGTAATGAGGAATGGCAAGTGTCATCACTATAGATGTAGTAGATGACGGTTGCATATGCTTCGGTCTATATGATCTTGTACACCGTTTGCCTTCTGCAGACTTTAGGGAAATTCGAATCTGGAAATACGAATAACATTATTTTGAGCATATCTTTACGTTAAGGGTCAAGCTTGAAAATATATCTAGTTAGCACTCACTCCATCGGCAGTATTTCTTGCTTCAGCAATTTTGTTCTTGAGAATTTGTAGTTTTGCAGCGAGAGTTCCATTCCATTTATCAAACTCCACTTGTCGTTTCACCGAAGCTGTGGCTAAGCTTGTTAACTTGGCATCTGCTCGTTTGATGTTACTTTGTGCTTCCGCAACTAAAACAAATATACAACTGTCACGAAATTTCATATTTTATTGGACTTATATTTGACCCTTACGTTTCTCACTGGCAAGGCTTATTCTAGAATCTCCTTCGCGTTTCAGTTCCGATAATTGAGGATTCAAAATCTCGGCGATGCCTTGCTGATAGTCTTCGATCAATTGTCTTGTTTCGGAAATGGAACTCGCCGTTGCTGCATTTTCTTGCAATATAGTATGTATTCTCTCTTCCACTACCGATGAATGAAAACGAACCGATTTATCAAAAGTTACGTCTTTACAATCTTGCAAATACTTACATTTTCGACTATCACTCTGTAACTCCCGAAGCTTAACGTTTATTTGATTATCTTTGTTACCGGTACTGTTTAATGAATCTTTCAAATCCGCAACAGCTTGTTTCTGATCTTCTAGTTGATCTCTCGCACTCACGATAAATCCACTATGGTTTTTTGTTCGTTCTAACTGCTCGCCGGATTTTAAACCAATGGCCAAGGTTTTGTCCAACAGTGATTCCGAATCGGCTCCGTTAGGAAATACCTTTCAGAAAATTCGATTGTAAACTTTCTCACTACACAGGTTGACTCAAGTGAAAATAATTTGCATTACTCACTTCTTTATTGACATTGTCGAGAATCACGTTAGCATCTTCGGCAGAGTCTCTTGCTTCGGTTAAACCGTCCACTATATTTTTGTAAGCTTGACTAGCTTTCAAAGGGTTGGCTGCTTGAGCTCTCGTTTCAAAAAATAATGATACGTATTGATCTACGTAATCGGAGAGATTTTGGGCGTGGAATATTGCCGGAAGAACATATTTATGTTTGTATTCGTAATTCAGTCGGTACAGAATTTTTTCTTTAGTAGCGAGCTCATTCGTAGCTTGCAGTAATATTTCTTTCATATCTGGAATGTTCTGAAACAAAATAAATAACAATTTTGGAATAAATGAGAAAAAACAATTGCAACATATTTTTTAAACAATTGCAAAGAAGAGAACGGAAGCCTACCTGTAAATTATTTTCACTATCAAGGATACAACCTTTCGCTTTATCGATCAAAGTTTTTCCTTCCTCCACAGCACTATTGATCTCTGAATGTTCATGGTTGATATCATTTTGATGATAGGCTAACATTTCATAAGTAGAATTCACCTCGTTGTACAAAGTATCGTAAGAATACATGGTTTCCATTGTGTTTTCCATAATTTTCATCAAATCGTTCAATTTCTGAGAAAATTTGTCGGCTTCTCCTTTGCACTGTTCTAAAGGTTCCATTGATAAAAGCAATTCATCCAGCCATTTGATCGAATCTGTGCATTCTCTGTTATAATGTAATAAAGTATTGTTATGCGAAATTTGAGATTAACAAGTTGTAATATTATTATTTTACGCACCTTATCAAAATTTCGAACGTTCTCGTTTGTTTTGGAATATCAATTTGTTTTATTTCACCTAAAATTCTTTTAGCTTCCTTCAAAATCTTATTAATTTCAACTTTTTTGTGATCATTCTCGTAAGAGGAAAGTTCCATTACAGTGCCTGTAAAGCATTTAAAATCATAATAACCGCTCGTCGTAACATTGTCTGTAAATCTTTTGAAATATTCGATGAATTTTTACCATTGAGTTCCTTTCTTAAACTTTCAAGTTCCATTTTCAAACTGTAAACGTTATTTTCAATGTCACCACTTTGAGACTTCAAAATTCTTGCATCGTTTGCTTGTTCAATGGCCTGCATAAATTAATCATAAATGAATATGAATACGTATATATGAATATGAATATAACTGACTAATGTACAGATAACGTTTACGCACACTTCTGAGCATGGTTTCTGCCTGTTTAGCTAAACGTTTGTAATGCTCTCGTGGCAAGTGTTGAACTCTTTGCTCGATATCCCTCTTGGACTCCAATTCGTTAAATAAAATTGTAATGTTGTCGTCCATGTAGGCCAACTCCTCCCACGGCGGCGCGATGTAACCGGTGGAGATGTGCGTGGTTGCGTTTATCAGATCGAATTTCAAGTTATCCAACTCGTCCAAGAGCAGACCAGTGCAGTTGTCATTGCACGCTACGATATTGAAAAATGGAGTGTGCCTTTTGCGATGCGAACGTGGGATAATGCTCGAAAAGGTAGCGAGTACCGTTGGTCACGACCACATCATAGAGGGAACGTGTACTCACACTGGCAGAATTGTCCGATGAAAACGTGTCGCTCCTGGGTGCACTGCGAGCAATCGCGCCCAGTGGAGCCGGGCCGGCAGTTGCACTGGCCGGTCTCGATGTCGCACTCGTCGCTGGCGCTGCCCGCGGCGTTGCAGCGGCACGGCGTGCAGCTGCCTCCCGGTGTGCTCGGGTAGCCGTAGTGGCCGTACGAGCAGCGCTCGCAGCGCGAACCGGCGTACCCTGCAACAGAGGCTCAGCATTGTTTTCAAATTGCTCGTTTTGCATCTCGCCGCGCTCGCCTTCGATTTATCGCCGCCTTGCCGCGCTCTTCCGCCTGCGATGCGCGCTTGTGTTCCTTTCGAAGTAAGTCGCGAGCTACGTCGTGTCTCTCGCACCCTGTTGCTGGCAAAAATCTTCAACCAACCTGGCTTGCAGACGCAAACGACCTCGTTGTCGGGCCGCACGATGCAAGTGTTGGAGAACTTCTTGTCGGTTTGTGGACACGGGCACGCCTTGCATCCGCCGTAATCGGCGTCGCCGTAGAAACTCTCCGCGCACGCGTCGCACCGTGGCCCCGACGTGTTGTCTCTGCAGTCCTGCGATTATTATTTCTCTTTACAAATCAATGCATTGTTGCGCAAACGTCGGTCGTTCGCTTGGGGGAAAAAAGTGCAATTTTCTAGTCACTCTCACGTCGGATTATATAGTGCAGGACATTCATTCTTGCGTGCAAATGTATTCACTCCACGGAGGATTAATTGTACTTTTCTGAGGTGAGTCGAAAGATTGAACGCACCGCGAAAATAATGTATATGTACGTGGAAGTCAATAAGGTGCGCATAACGAAGGCAATCGTTTTGCTGCAAGCGATTAAGCCGCCGGCGGAAACCACAAAGAGACACGATCGACGCGACGGCGAGACAACACTTACCAGGCAGTATCCGGTTTCGCGATCGCAGATTTCGGACCTGCCGCTACAGTGACAGCTTCTCGCTCGGCCCACCAGCTCGATATAGCTGGTCGTCGTCGTGGTGACGCTGACATTCGTCTCGTGCCACCTGTAGTAGCCCCGGCTGGCGTCTTGGCAAGAAGTGCCGTTGTATTCGCCGGGGCAGCTGCACTGCTCGACGCCGATCGCCAAGGGCGGCGAGTGCGTTGCCATTAGCACCGCTGCGTCCATAGACGCCTCTAACAATCTGAAAATAGCGTGGACGACTCGTTTGAGATCGCTGCTATCGAACGGTCATGATGAGAGTAATTGGCTTACGTCGCTCGCGAAAAGTCCGTAAAGTCCGAGGCTTTGACGAGGATGTGCTGCACGTTTTGTAGAGCTATCATTAGGATTTCCCTGGTAACTTTGACGTCTGGTCTGTTTCTGAACTGCCAGAATGATTCGTGGAATCTGCGCGTATCAGCAATTGAAAATTAATGGTCACGATACGAAAGGTTTCTCATTGCGCTAAGCCCCTACCTTATAACGTAACAACTATCGTTATTTGAATTTGGCGGGAAATACTCTAATATAAGTCCGTTGCCTTGCAATTGAACGAGCGGAAACTTGTGTCCTGATCGCAACACGTATCCACCCTCGGTTATTGTGGTGAATCGAAGGAATCCCCCGTATGATGCAACCTTCGAAGAAATACATGGATATTATCAGAAAATGATGGATAATAGGTCGGCCAACCAAGTGCAGATTGGTTACCTTGTCTCTGAGAAAGGTATCTGGTAGTTGCCAATAAACTGGAAACTCGCGATAGAAATTCATAGGCAGCGTCACGTCCCCGTCGATGCCAGGTATCGCGTACAGAGTATTCGTTTTATTCAATCCGCTATTGAAATATGGCAGTACAATTGATGATCCGTAATTTGTAACCTGTGACAAAATGTACGTGTGAACGAAAGATTTGACAAGCAATGATTTAGTAGGCCTGGCAAAATAGCTTTCGACAGAACAGATTTTAGCCGGAAACTCGAAATATTATTAAAAGTGCCAGAAGCGCGAAAAGGTTAGCGCATGACTTGCAAAGTAGCCAGCGGCGAAATAGAGTGTGGCTTCGCGAGCAGAACAAGTTAACGAGCTGCGCATGCACGGGGAAGAAAAGCTGGGTAAGAATGCGCTAATTGAAAGGAAAGGTGACGGCGGCTGCTTAATAGAATGTTATGAGCTATCGGTAGATAAATCAGCGTCGAGGCGTCGACTTACAACGACTTCGTTAACGGTATCGTTGACGTAGAGGACCCGAGGCCTTGGTAATCGGCGTTGTCCCCAACTCAAGCTCGCCTGTCGGCACTCACTCGTCCTGCCGAAGCAGAAGCACTCGGTGCAACCCAAAGGGTTCTCCGATGACAATCCAAACGTACCCTCTCGGCATTCATCGCAGCGACGACCGACCGCGTTTGGCTGTGGACGATCCAATAAATTCTCAATCGAACCAATGTTTCACAAATATTTGCGTGAATTCATAAGAGTAAGAGTGACTGGTCGAACTCTAACATTTCATCAATAATAACAAATTCAAATCCGTTGCTCCATCACGTTACTCTTGACAGACAACGCTTGCAATGCCAGATATAGGCTTTACTCGATAGGCCAAGAGTAATGAGCGATACGTGGGTAAAAAAGTGAGCAGCCGTACGAGGGCTTGCACAATACCAATTAACATATCACAAGAACAAACCTTGCAAGGACACTGTCCACTCTCGTCGCACTGCCCGAGCGAGCCGTGAGGATCGCAATTGCAGGGCCGACACCGCGGATAGTCGTAATATCCAAATGCACATTTGTCACAGCTCCGCCCGGTGAATCCTTCTCGGCAAGGGCATTGACCATCCGCAGGACTACACTGCTGCTTGAAAGAGCCCGCGGCGCTGCAGCCGCAAGCACGGCATCCTAGACCTGGCCGAAGGTCGTAACTGCCTGGACGACATCGGTCGCAGCGTTCGCCGTAACTCAAGTGTGGACACGAGCAACGACCGCTCGCCTGGTCGCAGATGTGACCGGCACGCGTACAAGGCTCGCATGCTGTACGGAATTGTTATTTCATTTTTACACGTCGTTTTACAAAATGTCTGGCTGTTTTCAAACGGGCTTCCGGGCGATAACTTCTGGACGTCACGTTAAAAATGAAAAAAACTTGCGTGGTTTTTTTACCTTAGTGCACACAAGTTATTTCGTAAAAAAAAAAAAATAACAAGCAAATAAAATTCATCGAGGTTCAATCGTGCGGTTAAGATAATGTATTTGTCATCAAGAACGATTTTCATTATCGTGGCAAACTCAAATGACCTGAAAGCGGTACTGCATTCCAACGGTATCAGCCCACAATGTGCGGCCTTTTTCTACCTCACGAGTACTCGAAACAAAGCAAACAGTCATAATCCTACACGCGAAATGCTCGCCAGAGCGAGAACAATAAGGCAAAACGTTTAAAAGTCTCACGTTGACATCCGCTGCGGGAGAATCCATAATATCCCGGAAGGCAAGAGTCGCAGCGAGGTCCGCCGACGCCGCGTTTGCATTGGCATTGACCGTCGGCGTCGTGGCAGGAATTATTGTGCGAGCCCACTGAGTCACAATCGCAGCTCACGCAACCGGCTCCTGTACCAAGGCCCCAATGATCCGGCTGCAATCAAAATGTATTTTTGCTTCGACGTAATTTAGGATTCATGTCTGACAGCTGTTAACTCGATCGACTTTGCATACACCTGCTTTCATTCACGTAACTTGGATAATCGTATCGCGCAGACTCATTTCAACCGGCATCTCCACCGACATAACCGGTAAACTAAAATTTTTTACTTTTTTCCAGTTAATCGAAATTATTGCATTTAAAACATCGATGAGACGGACAGCTCGCTACTAAAGTTCTCTAATTATATATACTAAAATAATAGATCGATAAATGTAATTGTATACATGTAACTCTAAACATGCGAGATAAAGAGCCAAATTATTCGGATGGTCAATAATATATATATAATAATAAAATTGAGCAAGATAAGTTAAAAAAACTTCAAACTACTTTTTTTATTTATGCTTTAATCTATTCAATAATGAAACGGAACGAAACGAAATGAAAAGAATTTGAACATTCGAAGAAAACGAAGCCGAATTGATATATTTTTCCTGTGAAAAATATATTTTTCTTGTTAATGTACGATTGAACTCCAGAATTCTCAAAAATCTATGATACATCAAGTATATAATGTATCTAGAATATTTATCATCTCATCGATAACAAAACTAAAAACAAAAGGAAGTATCAAACGACTGGGCGTCGGGTTGAGAGAGCCGGGTACAGCCAATTTGCATGTGTATGAACATCGAGGCGTTGCAAAATAAGAATGAGTATAATTTGCGCATGCGTTGATTCAGTATAATTTTTGTAATAGCTTGCAGGCTGCTCTTAATGCCACCAATTGCAGCTTGTTGTTTTAGCAAAATTCGTACAATTGAGTGTTTTCGTTTTATAAACAACGTGAACAGTATTTGAGAAGAAAAGTTATTCACAGTTTTGGCATTATTTCGCGTCAAAGCGATAACTAAGATTGATTGAGTTTGGCGTGCCAAAGGCCAAAGTTTGGATTTTTATCACATGTAAACGTTGCACACGGGCTTGAAAATTTACCTCGCGGTAAATATTGCCATTTTCGTAAACATTCGTCCGTAACAATTTCAGAAATATTTATTATTTAAGATAGCTGGGCCCTATGTATGAGATTACTATACGCAAGCTGCTGTAAATTTTGATTAACAATGAACTATTTTGACGCATGCCAGTACATTTTAAAGCTTATAAGCAGCTTCAAAACGTGTCGTAGCAAGATTTTCTTAATAATAGCCAGCTTGACTTATTATACTTTAAACGAACTCCCATGTTTCGGGTATGCAAAAATAGTGGGTCTAATATGGGACCATTAAATAGCCTACTATATCTCATATAGTTCAAATTAAACGTTGTTTTTAAAAAATAAGATAAATATTGATATTTTAACTTTAATTACTAGATCAAATAAATTTATTTTGGCTAACTGCCAAGTCTTTTCTTTGATTATGCACAGAAATTCAAAACTAAAACATAAAAAGAACGTAATTGTAACGTTAATTCACAATTCCTTATTAATTTTCGGTATAATCTCTTATTGAGTATGATAGGCTTACGAAAAGAATTAATTACTTCAAGAGTTTATTACGTTTAAACTCAATTGCGGGATATAGATAAGAAATAAGCAATGTGTGCATGAACGATAAGGAATTTCTTTGCGAATTCCAACACACATTTTTACAGCTTATTTTTTACGTAATTTCATTAAATGACATATTTACTTTGAAATCAAATGTATTTGCATTAATAGTTCGGATTTAAAATTTGTCGTGTAGGTATACAAATATATAATCTACTAGACTAACTATTTTATAAAAATAACCTAATTAGTTGACCAATTGTATTGATACTCACTAAGCATTTATCACATTGTCTGCCAATCACGTTTGTTTTACATTGACACTGGCCGTTAACAAGATCGCAAGAAGATGATATTGATCCTAGAGGATGACATCCGCACACTGTAACAGAAAGATAAATATTGATTCAATTTCTTGCTTTTTATGAGACGATACTTAAATAATTAAACATTATAATTGTAATTAAAATAATAATAAATTTCAAATAATGAGAACATAGTTTTACATTGTTTGATGAATGTTTTAATATTGCAATAATTATTTTGTTAAGAAGAATTTTATGTTGAATTATACTAATTGAATACTGCACAAAGGTAAAATCTTTTCAAAAAATAATAATTACTTGATTATATCATATCTCATACAAAATATTGTTTACCTTTTTTTTCAAATACGTAGTCAATTTTTAAGTCTCAGTTATAAAAGTATTATCTAACATATCAATAATAATACATAACAACTATGTCTTGATATAGATTTTTGTTTTTGTCTGAATTAAAACATAATTTCATAAAATAATACAAATTAGTAGTCAAATTTGGTCGTAACGCGAGTTAGATGATCGAAGTGAAATGAATGGTCGGGGAAAAAAACATAACATAGAAGAACGGCCTCTATGATAGCTAACTATCAAAGCTTACTAGGTTTTGTGACTATATCATTCATTGACTGACTTGAAAAGATCCGCAACTGTAATAAAAAATGAACTCTTCTATGTTTGGCCATTCGTTTAACAGCTGGATATATTATAGAGGTGAGCTTAGCAAAACTACTTGAAAAATAAAAAAATATTAACGATTAAAACATTCATGTCACTCATTTTTCAATTTAGTAATAACTGACGTTTCCATTTTGTAGTTGAATATGTGAATGTTCCCTGAAGGTACTGGATGGAATATGGGTAATATTTGCGATTTGAAAAAAAGCGCGTTTTACAAATTGCTGCTAATAGATAATTTCTGATAATGCCAAATGTTTTCAATAGACATTATTTCATGTCAAAATTGGAAGAGCTTACCAAGCCAGGTAATGATTATATAACATAAAATAATATAATTGACGTAAAAGAATAAAATAAGCTTTATATTATGTAGTTTTCAAGGACGAGTAATAATTACGGCGTTGTCGGCAATTTCAACTGAAAAGCTGACAACTGAGGACATTCCGGAATTGATGGAAAAAGTGAGACAAAAAATTTAGGAAGTATTTCACAGAACGAATGCCGAATTGGAGTTAACGTTGAAAAATGAGCAAATTTCTCTCATGAAGTCGAAATTATAGGTCGTCGCTCTCTTCACATAAATTTTGAAAGTCTTACCGATGGTATGATTTACGTTGCATTTTAATAATACTGTTTACAGAGTACAATTAACAAATCGACTGTGATATGTTTTATCACATTTATTCCTTCTACCGTGTATCGTCACAAAACGTTTAGAAAGCTATGATATGTAATAATAAAATTGACTTCGTAAATATTTTTCTATTTTTCGATTACGTAAAACGTATTGTTCATTTCCATATCATTACTGTTATGTACTTGTGCTTTCTTTCACTCCAAGTTGACTAACTTCGTAATTCCATTATACATAGACAGATGCACCGTATAAGTTAAACGAAACAGTGTGGGGGATGATTTGAAGGTAGCATTACGCACTAAGTGATACCTGGCCAGTTTTTGATTTATTGCCCGATAAATCGACTGTCGTTAAGTCGTACGCGCAGTATCTGCCGGCCCAACAAATTTTACGCAGCCGCGTGTCTCTTTAAATTTCCAGTAACTTAATATTTTTTTTGCCTCCACTTAATTTTTCCGTTACCTAGAATCGAAATCGCTTTTTTAATGATTATATTACTAATTATTTATTATGAGTAGAATTCATATTCTATTGAAATGTTGATGTTCCTATCTATAAAACAATTTGATTTTTATGTTAAAATGCTTGACAAGTATTTATACTACGCCGTATAGTTTATTGTGCGAATAACCATTAATAAATAACAATACATAAATAACTTAATGATTAAATCGTGAATTACGCACTCGTTGTCACACATGATATCAAGTAGATATTACGATTCCTGTTTAAATTTTCATATGAATACCAGGATTTTCAAGGCCGTTCTGAAGCTTTTTATTATTTTATAATAATATTTCTGGCTACTTCTATTGCGAATGACTTGGACGTGAATCTCATTATCGGTCTTAGCATGCAGTGATGGAAGCAGGAAAAAGTATTCTTGTGTACAAAATTTTACAGCTTTAATAAAATTGCTCTCGTTGCGTGTACAGCAGCCGACGGCAACGAAGGTAAGAAAAGGAAGACGCTACGCTTGTACATACAGAGGGAGATGCGATACGGTATTTTGAGGAACGAGGTCGTCCATGCAAATACAAAATTACAGCGTGCGCAATAAAGTTATGCTTCCCTCGCGCGGAAGGCATGCTATCACTTGCCGGCGCGCGCGCGCAGATTTTTTTTCCGTCATTCATGCGCTGGCACATGCATTTCTTCGCGTAACCACTTTAACTTATCGGCTTTACGATTCACAAGTAGCCGAGAGAGGATTTTTCATTTTGGACCTATTTGCACGGCTCGAGAGCTGCTGCTTTCACGAGAGTGCGTCTGACCCAGTTGGAGATGGAATTCAGTCGTTGCTCACTGCACGGAGAAAAAGCTCTGCTAACTGATGTGCCTACTGCCTTTCGTCCAATTCACTTTAGCTTTTATCGACACTTCCAAGCTATTTAAAGCGTGAATTGCGCATACTTCTTTGTGCACGAGACTATTGAGTATTCGGTTGTGTTTAGTTTCATTACACACAATTGGTGAAAGCACATTCGCACGACTAAATTTGTACTTATAATGACGACGGGAAAATGACGACAGCCTGCTAAACAAATCGCAAACTTATTGCTACACGAAGACGATAAACTTTATTTTACATACGCAAAGTTTGGTCTTTTGTTTTGAAAACACCACGCTATCACTTACTGTTATTTTCATTTGTACAAGACTTCATAAATAACGTTTGTTACTCCTCGAGCCATTACTCACTTCATTTCGCTTGTAGCATTGGTGAAAAATTGATTTTTAAGTGAGCAGGCTGCATCGCACTTTATACAATTACAGCGAGTAAAAAAATTTTATTGCACCTTCAAAGCGAGAAGATAAAATACACGCTCGTGTAACTTGCTTGTGCCACAAAAAGAAGCGCCTGCGTAATTTTGATCAATGTCAGATGCCGTTGATTTCTCTCCAGCGATTTCAATAATAAATAAGAAACACGAGCGTTTGACGTCAAGATGAAGAATCAGCAAATCAATTATCGATCATCGTTTATTCACTCGCGTGAAATAACAGTTGCCCAAGAAGGTACTTGCATCCTCCCACGCGAGACTCTCGAGTGAATGCAAAAACGTAACAAAAATGTGCAATCTATTAGGAAAAAAAAAGAAAAGCAAAAAATAAAAGTGTAGCATCGTTATGCGCGGGAGAAGCAGTTATGGAGCATAAGCATATGCAAAACTGGTTTGTTTTAAGAGGTCGTATATAAGTTATTGCCTCAAAAATGGCATAGCCTCCTCTCCCCCTGGTCGCCGAGGGAAGTGATCTCTCTCGCTCCCGCGTCTGCTAAATTTTCTTACTGGTGGCTTATGTTCTTCGAGGCAGCCGTAAAAGCCGCGAAAGATGCAGCGCCTAAGTAAACACACGATTATCGAGCCAAATAGAAGAACACCATCTCAGAAGATAAAAGCCACTTTCGTGTCCGTTGCAATATGCTTCTCCGCATCGATCGGCAATTGCATCCTGCGCTCGTGAAAGTGACGAAACACGAGCTGCTGGTGAGAACTGCGATCGTAATTAAAAGCCATTTCACGGCGCATTTGGATTTCCTGCACGCGTGCCGCCTAAAAATTCACAGCGCGCCCTTCTCGTTGAATTAAACCTCGTGAGCGCTTTAAATCACTCGGCCGGAGTGAAAACTTCAACATCCGCGGTTGTCTCTATCCCCGACGGAAGACGTGATGCTCTCGTTGTTTTTCTTCTTTTTTTGTGTGTCTTTTACTCGTCGCGCTCTCGCGTGCGCGAATACGTTTAGTGGGTGGACAGCGTACACGCGTGTAAACACACACACATACACACACACGCGCGCGCACGCACACACACACACACACATACAACCGTTGCACACGCATATATAGGCGTCGATGCACAATTTATATGCTGATTTACGACCACTCGCGAGCGGCAAATTCCTCGACTCTCTCTCTCTCTCTCGCAGCAGTGCACTCTCTTTACGCCATTCATTAGAGCTCCACAGCTCTGCAGGCTTCGTTTCAAAACATAGTATTTTCGCGCGTCTCGCGACGCGAGAAACTGTTAGATGCTTGCATTTGAATATAGTCGTTTTTTTTTCGACAGCCGATCGTTAACCAAGTGAATTTTCGTGTTGGCCAACAACTCCGCTCAGACTAATTCATTCATTAAATTTCAGTACGTCGCTTCTCTCTAGCCATCGCGCAGCTTTATATACGCGCTCGACTTGACGGCTGTGCGCCAATCAATCTATACTTAATTGACCACGTACTACTTGAAGTTATAATTAGGGGCGAGGTTTCGTTGAACAAAGCTTCCCGATCATCCAGTTGAATATACCAATAAATTAACTGGACCTCGCTCGACACTTTGATTGAGAAAAAAAAATTGCCGAACACTCCGAGTCATTCGATCGAGCTGATTCCATCGGGTTAATTGGTATTCCAGAGCAATCGCCAGTGTTCCGAGGCAATTATTTTTTTGGCGGGAAAAACAAGCGAGGATAGAAGAAAAAGCTCTGCGCGCGCTTTTCGCACGGATACGGCGGGCGAGGGGGGCTCGATAACGGGGTTCAGCAGCGTCCGCCGAGCTCTGACCGAGAGGGAAGATTTATCGTCACTTTGTCGGAGTAGTTTCGCCGCGTGATGCCTTGTCAGTGGCGGAAGTGCTACACACACGCCAGTACCATAATAGGTACACGCCTTCGACCTCTCGATTATCCGCAATCCGCGGATTCAGTTTCCTAGCTCTTGTTTCGCCTTTTTTCCCCCCCGTCTCACG